AGTGGGTCATCTGCCAAAATCAGTCTTATTTTAACAAGTACTAGCCCCGCCCACCCACCCTTATTTTCTTAGAGGATATGTCATTTGCAAAAATCAGTCTCATACTTGCCAAGATAAGATTGATTTTGGCAGATGACATTCCCTCTAAAAAGACAGGGTGGGCGGGCGGGGTTAGTACATGCTAAAATAAGATCGATTTTGGTAAATGACATACCTTCCAAGAAAAGAGAGGGTGGGTGGGCGGGTTAGTACCTGCTACGATAAGAGTGATTTTGGCAAATGAGATACTCTCTAAGAAAAGAGAGGGTGGGTGGGCGGGGCTAGTACCTGTTAAGATAAGGCTAATTTTGGCAAATGACACATTTTCTAAGAAAAGGGAGGGTGGGTGGGGGGCTAATAGCTGTTAAGATAAGGGTGATTTTGGCAAATCATATACCCTCTAAGAAAAGAGAGGGCGGGTGGGCGGGGTTAGTACCTGCTAAAATAAGAAAATGGGTCGCCGAGACTCTTTCAAATTGCTTCAAATACAATACACAGAAATATCGAAGAGATTCTTTCAAACTACTTCAAACACAAAACAAAAAGGGTTCCCGAGATTCTTTCAAAGTATTTCAAAAACCAGCCAAGAGATCCACATGATTATTTGAAACTATTTCAAAAACCAAACCAGAGATCCCCAAGATTCTTTCAAATTAATTTTAAAACAAATCAAAAGGGAACCTCGAGATTCTTTCGTTTGACTAAAAATGACGACGAAGTTTTCCGCATTTTCTTCTAGGCGAACACGCATCAGATGTTCTCGACACCGTGATAACTATGCCCGGTTAACTAATAACTAACTCTACAAGAAAATTTTCGGTTTTTGATTATTTAGTAGACATAGAAAATAATTTTTATAAGCCCCGCATTGTTATGAAAAAATGTCTACTTTTCTTCTATACGTGGTTAATGACTGATCAAAATTTATCTGTTTATTTAAAAAGAAATCAGCAAGTCTATTTTTGCTCATTTACTACTAAAATCATCAAAATTTGTTATAATCAATGACAATAATAAAATTTCTTATTAGACTCTTTATTTTGTGCTAAAACAATTTTGAGTAACTACAAATGACAATGAGATTTTAGAGTGGATTTCCTCTGATTTCACTGTGATAACTATGCCCTGTGTATACTTTTAAATACTTAACTTACATTAACCAATTGTACAATAATCAGGTTATCAATTTAGTAGTAAAATTTTCGTTTTTAATTGATTGTAGGAGCTAATAAGATAAAATTGATTTTGGAAAATGACATACCCTCTAAGAAAAGAGAGGGCGGGTGGGCGGGGCTAATACCTGTTAAGATAAGGGTGATTTTGGCAAATCATATACCCTCTAAGAAAAGAGAGGGCGCGTGGGCGGGGCTAGTACCTGTTAAGATAAGAAAATGAGTCCCCGAGACTCTTTCAAATTGCTTCAAATACAATACACAGAAAGATCCAAGAGATTCTTTCAAACTACTTCAAACACAAAACAGAAAGGGTTCCTGAGATACTTCAAAAACCAGACGAGAGATCCACATGATTATTTGAAACTACTTCAAAAACTAAACACCACGGGTCTCCGAGATTTTTTCCAATCTAGCTTAAAAACAGGGGAACCCTAAGATTCTTTCAAACTACTTGACAAACAAAACAAAAGGGGTCCCCGAGATTCTTTGAAACCACGTCAAAAAGCAGACAAAGGGTTTCCGAGATTCTATCAAACGACTTCAAAACCCAAACAAGGAATCATCAAGATTCTTTCAAACTGATTTTAAAACAAATCAAAAGGGGACCTCAAGATTCTCTAAAATTAATTCAAAGATTCTTTTAAATTACTTCAAAAACAACACAAGGGATCCTCGGGATTCTTTCAAACTTCACTTAGCTCATTTTCTATGAAACTACCGAAATTTTTTGAAATCAGTGATTCTTTATTTTGAGCTGAAACAATTTTGTTTGACTAAAAATGACGACGAAGTTTTCCGCATTTTCTTCTAGGCGAACACGCGTCAGATATTTTCGATGCCGTGATAACTATGCCCGGTGTATACTGTATTAAATTAACAAATAACTAGCTAACTGTACAAGAATCTAGTGACTAATTTACTTGTAAAGTTTTTGATTTACTAGTCATTGGAAATTATTGTTAAAAATCCGTGAATGTTAGAAAAATTTTGATCGTTTTTCTAAACCGCAGATCAAAATTTATCTGTCCATTTAAAAAAAATCAGCAAGTCTATTTTTGCTCATTTACTACATAAAACCATCAAAATTTGTTATAATCAATGACAATAATAAAATTTCTTATTAGACTCTTTATTTTGTGTTAAAACAATTTTGAGCAACTACAAATGACAACGAGATTTTAGAGTGGATTTCCTCTGATTTCACTGTGATAACTATGCCCTGTGTATACTTTTAAATAGTTAACATAACTTACAAATAACTAATTGTACAATAATGGGGTTATTAATTTAGTAGTAAAATTTTCGTTTTTAATTGATTGTAGTAGCTGCTAAGATAAAACTGATTTTGGCAAATTACATCAATTTTTCTATATTTCAGTTTTTGATTTTCCGATTATACAGTTGTACAATTTTCCGATTTCTCATTTATCCGATTTTTCAATTTGCCAAAATCAGTCTTATCTTGGCAAGTATTAGCCCCGCCCACCCACCCTTTATTTTCTTTGAAGAGTGGGCCATCTGCCAAAATCAGTCTTATTTTAACAAGTACTAGCCCCGCCCACCCACCCTTATTTTCTTAGAGGATATGTCATTTGCAAAAATCAGTGTCATACTTGCCAAGATAAGATTAATTTTGGCAGATGACATACCCTCTAAGAAGACAGGGTGGGTGGGCGGGTTTAGTACCTGCTACGATAAGAGCGATTTTGGCAAATGAGATACTCTCTAAGAAAAGAGAGGGTGGGTGGGCGGGGCTAGTACCTGTTAAGATAAGACTAATTTTGGTAAATGACATATTTTGTAAGAAAAGGGAGGGTGGGTGGGGGGCTAATAGCTGTTAAGATAAGGGTGATTTTGGCAAATCATATACCCTCTAAGAGAAGAGAGGGCGGGTGGGCGGGGCTAGTACCTGCTAAGATAAGAAAATGGGTCGCCGAGACTCTTTCAAATTGCTTCAAATACAGTACACAGAAAGATCGAAGAGATTCTTTCAAACTACTTCAAACACAAAACAAAATGTGTTCCTGAGATTCTTTCAAAGTATTTCAAAAACCAGCCAAGAGATCCACATGATTATTTGAAACTATTTCAAAAACCAAACCAGAGATCCCCAAGATTCTTTCAAATTAATTTTAAAACAAATCAAAAGGGAACCTCCAGATTTTTTAAACTCAATTCACAGATTCTTTCAAATTACTTCAAGGATCCCCGGGATTCTTTCAATTTTTTTTAAATCAATGAGTCTTTATTTTGTGCTGAAACAATTTCGTTTGACCAAAAATGACGACGAAGTTTTCCCAATTTTTTGTCAAGGTAAAAACGCTTTAGATGTTCTCGACACCGTAATAACTATGCCCGGTTAATTAATAACTAACTCTACAAGAAAATTTTCGGTTTTTGATTTACTAGACATAGAAAATAATTTTTACAAGCCCCTCACTCTTATGAAAAAATGTCTAGTTTTCTTCTATACGTGGTTAATGACTGATCAAACTTTATTTGTTTATCCCCTCCGAGAATTTGATGACGTCATGCAAAATTATGTCACATTTACTGATTCATCAATTTACGAATAGTTCTTAGAATTGTTTATACAAGATGTCTTTAATATGGTCAAGTTTAATATAGTTTGAGTCACACCGACTGATGACGTCATTTGGACACTTGAGCTGAGTAATTAAAATTTAACCTCGTAAAAAATCAAAGACGATAATACAGTAATCTGCAAATCCAATGTTGCTTGTGATAACTATGACCAGTGTATACTGCACCTAGTAGAGAAAAATTAATCGAGAATAAAACAACCATGTATTTAACGATAGGAGAAATTGCTCGACTGTATGGAACGGACCATTAAGAACAAGTCTCCGTGCATGCCCATAGAGCCCATACAGACCAAGTTAAGTGTGACGCAGCTATGACGAAGATAAAACGGTGTAGACTTTTTGTATGTTGTTTATTAGAAAACGTAGTTTTGACGACTACAACAGCGATTAAGATATATTCTTTTCCATAAAATGAGTTTAATCACCAAAAAATAAATTACGGAAAACACATCAAATAACCTAGAATCGTTTTTAAATTGAAAGAATGAACCGTAGGTAATTTAGCAACAAATTGAATTAAATTGGCTGAATTCGAACAATAAATTCCAATTTAAAATTCAACGCTTTTATGTTGAAGCGATTTTTAGCGAATACATAGGTACATTTGAATTTACAAAAGTGTGTTTGTTACGAATACATTTGCATTTTCACAATGAGAATGTCGTATTAAATTTTAGAATAGTCAATGCGACAGTGAAATTTTTACCTGGGTATAGAGATAGCAACAATAATTAACTAGTTCGTGAACAACGAGTGTCCGGATTCTAGAAGACGAAATAAATAATAACGATAATAATAATGGGTCCTGGTGGCGGCGCAGCGTCTTTTCGCGTCCGGCTTTGTCGTTTTTGTGCGGTTTTATTTTCGGTATTCATTCACCTGTCCTGCGACAGCAGAAAAACCGCACATCTGAATGAACCTTCGCAGTCGCGAAACCGCGATAAAGAATGAAAGCGTGTACAGCTGAAGCGCGAATAAAAAGTGCGGCGTTACCAAATTCGTCGATGGTCGATTTTTTCGTGTCCGCGCCCGCAGCATGGGTGCACCTTGTTAATACTGTTTGTGCGATTTTTTTCTCTTTCGGCGTTAAAATTACAGGTTTGTTTCTTGTGAAGTCGTCGCGTACTCGACTTGGTAGTGGGACATCAGCAGGTCTTGTGTGTTTTACTTTGAGAGCTTACGGAACAGTCGGCGCTTGCTGTCGTAGTGTCCAACATGCTCCCTCGGTTGCGGCCATCCGCTGTACCTTTACCCGTGCAATTTCGTGAAATCGAGTCGTTGGGAGTCCGTCGAGAGTTCCTTGGGCGGCCGACGTCGGAACCCGACGCCGTGTAGCCAGGAATCAGACTGCGAGCTAGTGCCAGTGGTAATTTATTATTTTAATAAACTGTTTAGTTTCACCTGCGCGGTATAAACTTTTTTAAAGGAAGTGACAGTTTGTTTTGTTTTGGATAATAACCCATATAGCGGAATTTGTTGTGATAAATATTTAAAGAAATTCGGAAATTCCTCGGTTCCAGTGTTCGCGGGAATGTGCGACTGGACAAGTGGATGAATTTTTTCGATGGATGTTCGGGTGTTGGGTGCTGTGTTGTGGGATTGAAAAAGACAGTCTCGCCAATCTCGCACTGGTCTCAGATCTGTGATCTGTCTTTGCTTATTTACACCTGCATCAGGACTCCCTCCGAACGGTAAGTTAAACACGCTTTATTTATTCTCTACTTTCGACTGATTGTAAATAACTTAATTAGAACGCTTGTTTATAGATGCTGCCCCTTTTTTACTCTCCGAGCTCGAATGCGAGAAATCATTCAAACTTTTCTCAGAAGTCTTTCATTAACTTATGACCAAGGGCTAATTCGAGACTGGAGCACTAAATCACACGGCAATTTTCAAACTTTCTGTCACAATTACGGTGAACAAAGCGCTAGTAGGGGTGAAACCGAGCTCGTTTATTACAATTTGCGTTTTTCTTAGAATGATGTAAGAAAGTGCCTTTTCCCATCACACGACCACACATTGTTCCAATAAATAACCGAAGCTTACGTACATTTCTCATTTTTTCTCAAATACTGCGTCAAAAGTACGGTAAATATTGATAAATATAATATCGCTGAAGATGAGAAAATCAGCTTCCAAGCCATTACCTTGAATTTTTTATTTTCGGGAACATAAATCACAACTACTTGTCACATATCAATGATATACTGTTGCATTTTTTAAATCAATAAATATCAAATAATTTATTGCGTTTAAATGTAAATCGAAAAGTGCTTTTCGTGCGAGTTGGCCCACGTACGACGCTGTCTACTGAAGAAAATTATAATTTTAGGCCAGTTTTCATTTTTGCCGCATACTTTTTCCAACACCCCTACTACGCAAGCAAATATGTGCCGCTTCCACGCGCAAGTGCCACAAATTTAACAACAAATTGCTTGCGCAGAAACTATACGACTTATTCTAGGACAACTGTCTCAGCCGCCGCTCCCCGGTTTGATTTTTTAATGCAAACCCACCATTTTTTCAGCGCGAAATTATCATATCGTGAAAAACAACTGAATTCTTAAACATTATGTCATAAGTTTGTTTACGACAAGCATAATTAAGCATTCAAACGTAAATCACCATTTATTTACGTTTAGTTCCTTAAATCGTTTGGGGAATCTGAAAAATCGCTGCGATTTTTCGTTCGGGCGCAAAATGATTCACCGAATGATTTATAGCGGAATGCATTCGTAACGTCTGATCAGGCGGTATTTGATTATGTCATGTTTGTGTGACATGACATTGCGATCGAAGTTCAGATACTGTGTTGCATCGGCAGGCTAATATAAGTCTGCCTGAGCTTCCGGTACGGTTGGCTGTTTTTATCGTGTGTTTACATCTTTAGTCGGAAGAAAGAAATTGGTATTTGGTGTGGTATTTGTTGTTTTGATGGATTTTGTCGTGCCAGATAAGGCGGTTATGATATCTTCAACTGTCAATACAATAAAACGTCGTAGTTTGAAGACTTGTGGACGTATTTTGACTCTTGTGTCTGCCTGACTTTTCTAGACGGATTTGTGTTAAGTTCAGAGGCGCCGCGATCAGTTAATTTCGACTTTTTGATGCAAATCGGCTCAGATTATAAATCATGTTAATCTTGTCCTATTAGCAGATTTTTTTAATTTTTTTCTAGTAACGTTAAGAAAAAACTGGTCTTCGTTTTATGGGTTCTTGTTTCTTATCAAAAAAAAGTGTAATTTTGATTTTTGTGTAAGCGTTTTTTTAACATTTTGAAGAGCTTGTAAGAGTTGCGTTGTCCTGATTGACAGATTTTGGCAAATGACTTTCTCTCTAAGAAAATCTTGGTTGATTATCTTGGCAAGTACTGGACCCGCCCACCCGCCCTTTATTTTTTTAGAGGGTATATCATTTGGCAAAATCAGTCTTATCTTGGCAAATACTAGCCCCGCCCACCCGCCCTTTATTTTCTTAGAAAGTATGCCATTTGGTAGTATCAGTTTTATCTTAGCAAGTACTAGCCCCGCCCGCCCGCCCATTATTTTTTTTTTATTTATCCTTCCATAAATTGCAAGGCAGACTTTAAAAATAACCCTATTGCGATTTTTTTTTGTGAATCCTTCCACTAACAATAAATTTAAAGAAAATTGAAATAACATCGGAATTTAAAAAATAAACTGTAGTTAGAAAGCTTAGGGGCACGTTACTGAGGACATATAAAAATATGTAGGGTGTTTCATAAAAAAAAGTAAGTCATGTGTTTCAATTTACAAAGAACATTCTTAATATTATGAGAATTTGATTTTGCAATTTTGAATTTTTCCCAACATTCTGGGGTAAAAACTTAACACGGATTCATAAACCACACGTTATTTTATAAAATGTAAAGAACGTTTTTATTTTTTATTTATCATGCTTTCTACGATCTTTGAACGTTTACAAGATTTCAGAGCATTCGGTTTTGAAATTTCGAAATTAAATTGTAAAAAAACCTTGTTATACAATTTTGATTTTTCCCAAAAATTTGGATGTCTAGGATCAAAACGCAACAGGGATTCATAAACCACAAGTACAATTGTATCTTATTTCATAAAATTTAAATAATATTGACTATTGTAAATTGGTCGGGAAGATTAAACAAATTTTAGTTAGTCCTTCACCATCTACACGATATTTTTTAACATTAAATATATAAAATTTGACAACAATCGGTCCAGTAGCTTTAAAGATTTTCTGTTTAACTAAAGGTCATGAAACGTCGAGAAAACATTGTAGCAAAATCGCCTCCAATTATTTTTACTATGAATTATTCTAGGACATTTTCTATGTTTCACATATACAGGTTGTCCCAAAGAAATTAGATTTTGCAGTTTATTCCAGGAATTCTTCGAAATTTTGTTCTAATAACAACAATAATTTAGGAACTATGAAACCGTTAACTAAAATTCGTTTATTCATGTCATTCCGATAGGTAATGACGTCATCCTGAGAAATTATCAATAAATTTATCACATTTTTTTTCAGTTATAGAGTCGCCATTAATTGAGTGAAAGTATTTTATTATTTTTTAAATTGTTCATCAAAATCGTCTCCAATTATTTTTACTATGAAGTTTTCTAGGACATTCTCTATGTTTCACATATACAGGCTGTCTTAACGAAAATAAGATTTTACAGTTTATTTCAGGGATTACATAATAGACTTCTTCGAAATTTTGTTGTAATAACAATAATGATTTAGGAATTTTCAAAAAATTTCCAAAAAAATGGTTAAAATTGGTGAATTCGACTCAAAGTTGGTGTCAAATTTTAGATAACGTTCTCCTAATTAAGCATCCGAAATCGCCTTCAGGATATCTGTTCCAAATAAACACGAAAAGTGATTTCAAAATTTTAAAAAATGTTCCAAAAAAATGGTTAAAATCGGTTCAATCGAGCGAGAATTGGTATCAAATTGTAGATAATTTTCCGCCAGTTACAAATCCGAAATTGCATTTACGGCGTATGTTGAAATAGAGGTAATATGTGGTACCAAAAAAGTTAAAATTGGTTGTTTCGACTGAACGTTGGTGTCAAATTTTAGATAACCTTTTCCTAATTAAGAATCCGAAATCGCCTTCAGGATATCTGTTCCAAATAAACACGAAGAGTGATTTCAAAATTTTCAAAAATTTTCCAAAAAAATGATTATAATCATTTCATCGACCAAAAATTGGCGTCAAGTGGTAGATAATCTACCAGTTACAAATCTGAAATCGCCGTCAGGACATCTGTTCCAATAAATACGAAAAGTGAAACCAAAATTTCCGAAAATTTTCCAAAAAAAATTGAACGTTTATCGAAGAAACTGAAAGCGGATTCGTATACTACAAGTATAGCATATATATTTTTGTACAACATTCAAAAAATATTTTAAAATACGGTTCATTGAGATGACGTCATCAAATTGCTGGTGAGAATGATTAACATAATTGTAGAATAAATATTTCCTTACAAAAATTTACCGTTTTAAACGTGATTTAAGTTTATAAGAATAAAAAAATCATCACAATTGAGATAGGGCGGGTGGGCGGGCTTACATTTTGCCTTCTTGTTTTAATATACATATTTAGATTTCTTTTCACAACATGAAACTTACAACATGTTTAAAATGGAAAATTTGTATAAAGAAATATCGATGTTGCAATTAGGCTGCACCCTATATTTGGAAAATTTATATTTCCTTGCAAAAATGTGTCATTTTAACCATGTCTTAAGTTTCTTGTTCTGAAAAGACGACTACCTATATTAAGAAAAAAGGCAAAATTTAGGCCCCGCCCACCCACCCTATCTCAATTGTGATGATTTTTTTATTCGTTGTGAGCCAAGGCGGCGGAGCTTAATTGCAAAACCCTTATTTTTTCTATAGAAGAAATAAAAAACATGTTTTTGAGTATCATGTTCTACAAAGAATACTATGTATATTAAGAAAAAAAATAATAATAAAGCCAAAGATTAGGCCCCACCCATATCCGCCCCGACCTCAATTCTGAATTGTGATGAATTTTTCATTCGTTGTCAGATCGAGGGGCGGGGCTTAATTGCAAGTACCATATTTGTCTGCAAGAATTTACCATTCTAAACATGTTTTAAGTTGCTTATTCTGAAAAGACGACTACGTATATTAAGAGAAAAAGCAAAATGTAACTAAAATTTGTTCGTTCATATCCCCCCTGATAGGTAGTGACATCATCATCAGAAATTATCAATAAATCCATCTGATTTTTTTTAGATGCAAAATCGCTCTTAATTCGATAAAGTTTTTCTATTATTTTTGAAATTGCTTATCAAGATCGCCTACAAATATTTTTACGATGAATTTTCTAGAACATTTTCTATGTTTTAAGAATCACCCCATATTTTTAATTTTACATGTACCAGTCGAACAATTAAAATCGAAAAATTAAAAAATTGAAAAATCGAATAACTGAAAAATCCAGGAATCGAACATTTAAAATTTAAAAAATCGAAAAGTTGAAGAATCAAAAAATTGAAAAATCGGGAAACCGAAAAATTAAAAAATCTAACAAATTGAAAAATTTAGAAATTGAAAAATTGAAGAATCGAAATACATATTTTAAAATTCCAAAACTGAAATCGAGAAGTCGAAAAGTCAAAAAATCGAAAATTAAATAAAATCATAAAATTTA